GGGATCTGAAACACAGGGGATAAGTTCATGCTCTTAGCGGGATCTAAGATCTTAAGAAATGGCAGACCTAAATGCAGAGAACCATACTCTGTACCTTGAACATCTCGGCAACGTGAAATTTCATAATTTTCTGCTCTCCTCTGTTCTTCAGGTAATCGAACACACGGACAACGTGATCGCTCAGGAGACGGAGGAAGCTGTGGCGGCGCTGCAGGTAGTTTCCGTGGTGTCCTTGGCGCCGGTTGGCACGACGCAGACCGTGGAAACGTCTAGTCCAGACCCAAGTTCACCGCCCCTGTCTCCACAGCCGGCCGACATGGTACCAGAGGAGATCAAAGAGGAGGAGGCTGGCCCAGGCTCGCCGAAGATCGTGACGTTTGGTCAGAACCAGGTGTTCTCCGCGATCGACGAACAGACTACCGGTGACTCGTTCTCCTCGTCGAGTCGTGTCACGTACGCCACGAGTACGGGCGAGTTTAAAAACGCGTCGCCGCAATACATCACCACCAGCCCTAGCAGGCCATTCTCACCAGCTGCTGAACCACGGCTACCTAGTGTCCTCGAGGCCGCTATGAAGGCGGAACCGAAGGTTGAAGTTGAGAGGTGAGTGTTCTAAGGGAAGAGGAAAAGAAAAAAAATTGGTGGCTCGTCGAGGATTCACGAGTTCATGAGAAATTCATAATTTTTCGGGGCGGGGAGACAGTGATTTCGCGAAGTTGAATGTCGGATATAAGCGTTTTACGATGAACTTTACGTGGTGCACGATACATAATGACACGCGTTTAGTATCTAGGGTAAATGTCAAGGCAATCTCCGTCCTATTAATCTTTTATGATTTTCGTTATGAACGCGATTCTACTTGGCTGATAACGAGACGTTGCTGCATACATCGATTTTTTACATCGAGTCATTAATAAATGCGAAGTTAAATTTAGAAAAACGTGAGGTTGAAGTTATTATCTGCTGTATTTCGATAATAATATTTCACGTTTACGTGCCACCAATTTCCCACAAATGCACGTGTAATCCAATAATCCAGTGCAAGAATTTCAAAGAAAGAAGCATCGATATTTCCCTCTAACCGAACTAACGAGAAATGCTTCGAATTCGTAGGTTGCCGTCGCCCTCCAACACCCTGGACGACGGATCCCCGCAGGCGAGGCTCTATCTGGCCAATACCTCTCGACAGAACCTGGAAACGATCGTTGAAGCGATACGCCACCTAGAGGGAGACCATCTGTTCAGCGACGAGCCAGCGCAGGACGTGCCGTTGGCGTTGACCAACAAGCAGACTGCGAACACGTCGAGCAAGTCGACGACAACGTCGTCCGGCGCGTCGCCGACGGCGAAGCAGCGGCTACTGCAAGCCGAGTTCCTCCAGTTCCACAGACAGCAGCAAACCCAGCAGCGACCGGGCGTGATCGTAGTGAAGCACTCGTGATCGAAAGGCGCGTCGCGATCAGCAAACTGAACGCGCGCGTTCGCCACGGCGAGCCCGGCCCCGCTCGAAACTAAACGAACGATCGAGAACCCGCGACGCATCGAGACATCAAGAGGTACTCCTTCGAGAAGTGTGTACGCAGAAGGCGCGTTTTACGTTATTAAATAAGCCAGCCGAGAGAATCAAGAAGAAGAAGAGAAAAAGAAAAAGAAGAAGAGAAAAAAGAATTTTTCCGTGACACGATCTACTAATACAGGCTCGAGCCGGGAGCTCCGTTTCCTCTGAAGACGCTCGGGACGCCTCTTTGCGTTCGCTGTTGTAATCGCCGACCGACCATTGTATCGGTGTTGCTCGGTCGGCGTATTCGTATGTTCCTACTGCCCGTCGTCCGCCTTCGTTTCCAACACCGATCTGTCTCCACCCAATGTCCAACCGAGATTCAACCCGCTGTTGCTTTACGTTCGACGAATTAGATGATCGTTTATTGATTAATTAGTACCGGCAGATCGAACGGGGAAAGCTGTCTGACCGCCATGCCCCTTTCCCCTTTACCGGAAACGGGTTTGAGGTTTAAGGGAATCTCGAAACGAAGGTGGGGCCAAAAAAAAAAAAAAAAAAAAAAAAAAAAGAAAAGTCGAAGAAGCTCGACGAAAGGATCCTCGCCACCGAGTCGTCCAAAATGTTTCCCTTGTTCTCACCTCCCACCTCCAATCGTCATTAATCTCCTTCCCTCTCGCTAGAGTTCTTGTAAATACCACCGATACATACTTTCCTCTTACCTATAAGGTTCGCGATTG